AAAAAAAAAAAAAAAAAAACAAAAAAAAACAGGAAAAAAAGTAGCACCGTCGCTATGCTCTCAATCTCCTTCAACCATAGGCTGAATGAAACGCGGCATCTCCTCCGTCTCTGCGATGTGTGAGACCTCCAATCAACCTGCTGCACCTGAACAGAAGACATGACACCACCAATGACCGCAGATCAGTGGGGACCACACACACCCATGAACTGTTATTGAAATACAACCTGAGTACGAATCCTAATGATGGAACTCGTAGGTCGTCCAATGCCAAAACAATGCAAAAGAGAGAAATAAAACCATTCCCTTTCCCTTGTTTACTAGGGGAGGAAAACCGCGCACACAGAAACACACCCCTCCTCACACAGAGACACCACAAGAAAGGGGGGCCACAAGAAAACCCACAACAGTCGGTGTAATCAGTCATAAAAGACGCACCAATTGTATCCTACCGTCCAGTCTAACCGCGAGCACACAACGCACCCTCATCACGACCGTATCAGACCGGGAAGATAGCATGTATACATTCATCATCAGGGCGCATTGTGTGGTTCTGTTCGTGCACGACACCGATTTAGAAAAGGATAGCCATTTCTGACTGTGAATCCCACTTCTTCCTGTTTGTTTGTTTGTTTGTTTGTTTTTTCCTTCGTTTTTTTCCCCTTCAATTTTTCTTTTTTCCTCGTTTTTTTCTTATTTTCCTCTTCCTCCTTTTCTTTGTCTAGTTTTCGATAACTTTTCTGTATGTTACCACCTCCTTTTTCTTTTTCTTTTCCCTCGTCACGACCGTATCAGACCGGGAAGATAGCTTGTATACATTCATCATCAGGGCGCGTTGTGTGGTTCTGGGACCGGGAAGATAGCTTGTATACATTCACCATCAGGGCGCGTTGTGTGGTTCTGGGGAAGACGGTAGCAAGCTCAAATTAAATAAAAAGAGAAGGAAGGGGGGGGCGAGGAAGGGGGGGCGAGGAGGGGACCACAAGAAAAAAGGGGGGAAATAAAAGAAGCATCCAGCCCATGTGGGGGGCTGAATGGTACACCCCCCCTTAACTGTGTTACGAAACAGATAATGAGATCGAATGCTGATGGAATTAGGGCAACACAACAATGGTAGCGGGCTACCGCCCGTGGACAAAGAAAAGGAAAAAAAAGGAGGTAACATACAGAAAAAGTTATCGAAAACTATACAAAGAAGAGGAGGAAGGGGAAAATAGTAAGAAAAAACGAGGAAAAGGAAAATTAAAAAAAAAAAAAAAAAAACAGGAAGTGGAATCCAGAGTCAGAAATGGCGATGCTTTTCTAAATCGGTGTCGTGCAGGAACAGAAGCCACAAACCCTAAACCCTTACGCATGCCCCTGCTGCCCCTGCTGCCTCTGCTGCTCCCCCTCTTTCCCCCATCCTGCTCCCCATCGCCCCTTCCTTTCTCCCCCCAACCCCGCACCAGCTTCCCCTCCCCCTCCCCCTCCTTCCCCCCAACCCCGCCTCCACAGCGCCTTCTCGCTCGCGGGGGAAGGGGGCATAACCAACCGGCCACATACCCCCCGCGTAACCAGATTAACGCCGTCGCTGCACTACTCTCTGTGTGGAGAATCGGGAATGTATCTCCAGCCAGAAGGTGGATAGGTACAGTCTACTCTTTTGTCTTCTCACCTTTTCCGGGCCGTGAAACGAGGCCCTCTAAACCAGAGAAGCGCAACCGCCCATGAATCACCGTACCCCGCAGAACCAGATAAATAAAATAATGCTATCCTATGGGAAAGCGCGGCCGATTTGTCCTTCAGGAGCAGAGTGGAAAATCAGAGAGACTCAGGGTTACTTTCTAGTGTGCAGAGAACACTTTCTGGTGGGGATAAGTCACTTGCTAGAGGATAAATCACTTTCTAGAATGCAGAGATCACAATCTAGTGCGAAGAGATCACTGTCAAGTGTGAAGACATCACTTTCAGCTTCAAAAGCAGCAGTGTAAATCAGAGGGACTGCGAATTACGTTCTAGTGGGCAGATATTACTTTTCTAGTGTGCAGAGACCACGTCTTAGTGTGCAGAGATCACTTTCTAGCTTGCAGAAGTCACTTTCTACCTTGCAGAGATCACTTTCTTGTAAACGTGTGTGTGTGTGTGTGTGTGTGTTGAGAGGAGGGGGGGGTTGGAAGGGGGAGGCGAGGAGGAACTGAAGGCGGAAGCAAGGGGAAATGAGGAAAGAAGACAGGAAGATAGGAAAACGACAAAGAAGGATGAAGGAATTTTTTGAATAAAAAACGGAAAGGGCAACAAAAAAAAAAACAGAAAAAAAAGACAAGAAAGGAACGAAGGCAAAGAGAAAACAATCGAACAGGAGAGAAAGAGAGAGAGAGAGAGAGAGAGAGAGAGAGAGAGAGAGAGAGAGAGAGAGAGAGAGAGAGAGAGAAGTGTGTTCTTTCAACCGGAAGGCAGACAGAAAGAGAGGAGGCAAGAGTAAGAGAGATTCTTTGCGGGAGGCAAACACAAGATACAAAAGTTCACAAAACACGCACGCACAGGATTGCGTATAGCGAACATAACAAAAACAGACATACCTAAAAGAGCAAACAATGTTATAATAATGATAAACAACAAATACACACACCTGGACTGTTGTCCCGCCTTTGGCGTCAGGGGCGTCATTTGTCTTCAATCGTCCTCGTCTGGCCCCATTGCCCCGAAGGCGACGGCAGGAGAGTCTTCAGCCGAATAGAACACGCCCGGTCTTTGTCGCTGTATCAACAACAGACTGCAAGGCGCACCAAGCAAGCACCAACTACAGCGATAATGACTGGAAGGCGTTCCGTTCGGGCGAAGAAGACGGTAGGCAGGGGAATCAGCCCGTTCTCTTTCACATCAGTATCATCTGTGTCGGACACGGAGCAGAACAGCAAGAGCAAGTCACTGAGCACCTCCTCGACCGCTTATCGACGTGGACTCTCCCAGCACCGCACGATCTACCGCTGACGAGGACAGGCTTGATTGTACGGACGCCAAGCTTTGCGGTGCGCTTTGTGGCGGCGCGCTTTGCGGCGCTGTCGTCCTCGATGTCATGCTTGTCCCTCCTCCTCCTCGGACCCGCTCCTGGGGCGTTCCCGTCAGCGTCTCTCCCCGGAGAGCTGCCACGTAACGGTCCTCTGTGTCCTCCTTGTTCCTTATTTCGGACAGCAGTTGATTCAGGCGACCGCTATTGACACGACCCATCAACTGCGCATCTGAACTGCCACGTGTTCCCATCTGATTTCGCAATCGAGTTGCTTTGTCCTGCGTGTTGGACAGAGACATCAACATCACGCCCGCCGCACAAGGCACACCGATGCATGCGGCCGCGAACGTCGTGTAAAACAGGCGGGAGGCCTTGGAGCGAGCCACCAGCCATCGCCACGTGGCACTTTTCTCATACACCCATGCCATTACCCAGCCCAGCCAATAACCACCAATCAATCAATCAATCAATCAATCAATCAATCGACTACAACTGCCTGTTGGCTGACGATCCACTGGTACGATGGTTTTTCCTTTGCCTGCTTCCGCATCGCTTAGCGCAAGCCAGAGCCCGTGGGAATGCAGGCATTGGGCGACAGGAGCAGTACGTGTTCCCGATTTCGCCGGGGAGGACAGAAAAAAAAAACAAATATATCCTGATGAGTCGGTGAAACTCCGACGAAACAGTTTGTCACAGCCCCTCGTTTGTTGTCCTCTTCTCCCTCTCTGCCTACGGTTTACCGGGCAGTTCTATTTGACGATATATATATTAAAAAAAAAAAAAAAGGTACGTTCTTCTCTCAATTTCACATCACACTACCTACCTACCACTACTCCTAATTATAGGCATACGGGGAACGCCGGAGCAGCCAGCACCGTGTTCACAATAGAACATGGGGGGGCTGCTCCCGACCTGCAGGTGGGCGATACCGGCTAAGGTAGGGGACAGCCGGTAGCATCAGGGAGCATGCCAACAGGACCAATCCCTGTGCCTCCCCTCAGGTGGTGGTCCCCCTCCCGCTACGAACATCAGCAGACTGCTCAATGCCGATCGGGGGATCCAGTGGTCTATATCTCTAGGTGGCGGGCGCCAAGCATGGCCGGCAGAAAATAGCCCACGTATGCTAACGGCAGAAAATAGCCCACGTATGCTATGGGGTTCCGCGTAATACTATAATAATAATGCCAATAAAAAAGGCCTGCAAGGCCCTCCTGTCCAGATTTTCGACAGGTATTTGAATTGGTTGGGCCCGCCGGGCCTCCGCATTTCCAGTGCCGCATTTCAACGTTGAGAAGTCCTCGAAACCCCGGGGCCAAGTCCCACTAGCAGCGTTGAGCTACCTCAACGCCTGAATCTGGAAGTGTTTGTGGAGACGTGCAGTTCAGGAGACTCAACACCATTTCTGCACATCTCTGCAAAAGCGTCCAGATTCAGGCGTTGAGGTAGCTCAACGCTGCTAGTGGGACTTGGCTCCCGGAAAAAAAACGTCCATACGTTCTATTCGAATTATCTCTGGAAATCGACTTTCCAGAAATAGCTTGTTTTCCCCCCTAATAGAACATTCGAATATAGAACACGTACGTTGTATTGGCAGATAACCTAGATTTCAACGTTGTATTGGAGTACAACACATGTGTGTTTATGCAATTTCGATTTTTCAAAAAGAATCAGAAAAATCGCGGGGGGGGGAGGGGGAGAAGTTGAGTTGTACCACTGTTGGGGCGGGGGGCAACATGCAATCCCTTCATTGTGAGGTAGCTATGCTTACAGGGGTCCGCTCTATATAGCCTTAGGAGAAGTGGTAGGTAGGTAGTGAAAGACAAAGAGAATTTGAGAGAAGAATATAGTGTAGTTTATACAAAATAAGTTGAGTTTTTCAACATCGCAATACAGACAACTTTTTTTTCTCTCTCAAACACACAAAATATGTCACAGTCTATTAGTCTATTAGCCCACATCATGCCACCAGTATCCTAACCCTTAAACCACCAGTACCTCGCTCAGTGTTCGGCCGCGGGCCTTCCCGTATACGCGCCGCAGCCTCAGGCTGGTCGGCCAAGGGAAGGCCCGGTCGTAGCGCCAAAGCAGGGCCCCGCTTCTGTAGGGACGACACACTATCAAAAAAGAAAGAAGAAGAAAAAAATGAAATACACAAACAAAAAAAAAAAAACGGGAAAACAGT